AATCTGTTTCTTTTTCTTTCTTTTTCTTTTTTTTCCACTTTATCACCCTCTGTAGAATGCTGTGGCAGCGTCACACAGCTCACAGCAACCTCCAACTCCTGGGCTTAGGTGATTCTCCTGCCTCAGCCTTCTGAGTACCTGGAACTACAGGTGCTCGCCACAATATCCAGTTACTTTCTTTGTTGTTGTGGTTTGGCCGGGGCTGGGTTTGAACCTGCCACCCTCGGCATATGAGGCCAGCACCTTACTCACTGAGCCACAGGTGCCACCCTTCTTTTTGGTTATTTTGTTGTTGTTGTTTATTTGTTTCTTTGAGAAAGCATCTCTCTGTTGCTTAGCCTGGGGTGCAGTGGCATGATCACATCACTGCAGCCTAGAACTTCAGGGCAGTCCTTCCTCAGCTACAGTGGCAGGTGTATTGGTGCAGGTTGCTGGGGATGGTGGATCTTGGCATCAGAAAGTCTACCCAGGGGGCCTTCAGAATCTCAGTTTCTGGGAAATAACTCAGAAAGGTCAGGTAGTTATTAACAGTTAAGTTTCAGGCTTGGCGCCTGTAGCACAGTGGTTACATTGTCAGCCATATACACCAAGGCTAGCAGGTTTGAACCTGGCCTGGGCTAAAACAACAATGACAACTGTAACAAAAAAATAGCCTGGGAAGCACCTGTGGCTCAAGGAATAGGGTGCTGGCCCCATATACCGGGGGTGGCCGGTTCAAGCCCAGCCCCAGCCAATAAAAACAACTGCAAAAAAGAAAAAGGAAAAAAATAGCCTGGCGTTGTGGCAGGCACCTGTAGTTCCAGCTACTTGGGAGGCTGAGGTAAGGGAATCGCTTAAGCCCAAGAGTTGGAGGTTGCTGTGAGTTGTGATGCCATGGCACGCTACTGAGGGCAACATAGTAAGACTTTGTCTTAAAAAAAAAAAAAAAGGAAAGTTTCAGGGTTCCATCATCATACCTTACCGTTTTGAGAATCTAAAAGAAGCGACAGAGAGGATTTTCTTTTTTCTTTTCTTCTTCTTTTTTTTTTAGAGATAGAGTCTCAAGCTGTCACCCTGGGTAGGGTGCTGCATCATAGCTCACAGCACCCTCCAGCTGTTGGGCTCAAGTGATCCTCTTGCCTCAGTTTTTCTATTTTTAGTAGAGATGGGGTCTCTACTGACTGTAATCCTAGTACTTTGGGAGGCCAAGGCAGGTGGATTGCTTGAGCTTAGGAGTTAGAGACCAGCCTGAGTAAGAAGGAGACCCTATTCTCTAAAATAATAGCTGGGAGTTGTGGCGGGCCCCTGTAGTCCCAGCTACTCCAGAGGCTGAGGCAAGAGGGTCATTTGAGGTTGCTGTGAGTTATGATGCCATCGCAATCTACCGAGGACAACAGAGTGAGACACTGTCTCAAAAAAAAAAAAAGAAAAAAGCAAATAGAAGTCACTTATAGCTGGGAGTTGTGGCGGGTGCCTGTAGTTCCAGCTACTCCGGAGGCTGAGGCAAGGGAATTGCCTAAGCCCAGGAGTTGGAGGTTGTTATGAGCTGTGTCACACCACGGCACTCTATCCTGAGCAATAAAGTGAAACTCTGTCTCTATAAAAGAAAAAAAAAGTCACTTAAATTTGTTCATAGAGGCTCGGCGCCTATAGCTCAACCGGCTAAGGC